ACAAGTGCGTGTTGACCTCAAACCCATGTCTTTCCTAAACTAACAACAGAAGAAAAAGTTTTTTCATGAGCCAAACAACCTATGAAAGGCCATCGGGATGACAGTGGCTCCCAACTTTTCGGGTTACAGTAGTCGTATGAATAGAAATATACAGGAGCGTCGTGCGACTCCAATGTCTCCTGAACTGCTGTTTGGACTGCGACGTTCATGAGTAGATCGCCGAAAATCTGAAATGAGAACAAATTTTCCAAAGAAATCCCTTTTCGATAACGGGTTGTTTGAGAAAAACGATGAAAAAAGAAACCTCCACCGAGCCTCGTGCCACTTCTTCAGAATTTTCAGGGTCAGAGAGAAGTTTCTGGAAAATCTCTTCTCGATACCTTTTGAACATGCGAGGATATTCTTTCTCAGGAACCACTAGTGACACATACTCCATAATCTTGCCGACACAATAATTCCTTTCGAATCCTACTGAAAAGACTAACTCGGAACACTGTCCGTCTTGAGACTCATCCATGACAAATATCCTTTTTAGTAGCTCTGTATCAACGGCTCTCAACGCTACATTGAGCTTATGCTGAACTGAATTTCAATTTACTCACGGAATAAAAGTCCTTCTGAGGCGCAACACCCGATCAGCATAGGTTTTGCTGAAGCCTCTTTCCGCAGTTCGCTGACGCTCTGAACGTTTCCTGTTATGTCGCCATAGCAAATACGACGAATTCAAAGGAATCATCACTGGTCGAATATGGAAAGACCTTTGGAATGAAATCGAAGTCGAGTCGTGGGCCAACAGGACAGCATTTTTCTAAACTTGACTTTCCCGTATTGTCCATCAGGGAAAGGGCGAACTTCGAAAATGGTAACTTTCGCAAAGCGTCAATCATCTGAAAAAGGACAGCGAAATAATTATTTTACTGGATTTGTTCTCAAGTAGTGTTCGGTTGGCTTGAGCGAGCACCGATCTGAACCCAGTCGCCATTTTCGCCTTATCTCGACCAACCTAACGTAGCCTAACCCACCTCGGCCCCTTCAGAATCGTACTATGGTGGATTGACTAACGAACCTTTCTAGAATCGCGAGTGTCGTGTATTCCATTTCGTTCAGCAAATTTTCGACATTCTTCTACCATATTGTCATGTATAGCCCACGAACAGCTTGCATTTCCTGCCATAGGGATGACCTTGTGAAATAGATCTAAAGACATGCAGATCCACATCCGATTAGATTCAGTAGTAAGGCAAAGTACACGATAATTTTAGAGTGTCGAATTTCAGACGAATAATGTATTGATAGTTAAGGATAATGCCAAAGTGACGAAGAAAACGCGAAAATCGACGTGCTTGAAGAAATATAAGGATTCAAAAAAATAATAAAATTAGGGCTGGACGAGAAGTGACAACAAACGTTGCATTGAAGGGGTATTTGGACGAGCTGTCCAAATGTATGTGCCTATGCGTACAGCTAGTTACAGTTAGCTGCCTGCGTACAACGTGTGCGTCCCGAAGCAAATGGTGCAACATCTTTACAGCCCCTACAACGCCGTGAGAACTCGCCCGCCTTTGGATGCGTACGTCGTCTGATTGTAAGCCGGTTCGGGGTTCTTACTACGCCCTAGCTAGACCTTTTTCGACTCAACAGCCAGGATTATTTAGAAAATGAGAAAACAAAGAAACGCCTCCGATGGCCAACCTCTAGAATGTGGGCAGATGCTTAGCAGATCGACACAGGCTCCGCCGGCAGATTGGCCCATGACTGTCACATTTCCGGGATCACCATTGAAAGCGGCTATATTCTCCTAAACAGTGAAGCATGATTTCGATTAAAATTTATCCCTTGCCAAGACTATCTTGAAGGCTGGGCCAAGTTTTTTGTAATGACCAATGCCATATAGGCCGGCTTTCACGGGTTTAATCTGTAGCTTCATCCATGCCCGTTTAAGCTGTAGCTTTAGTTGACTTATGTAGGTTTAACTTACTGAAACACCTGTGAAGGTTTACCTGAATCCACTTGAGAGCAAGGGTTTGATCCCATAGACCGAAATTTCCTGGACAATGTTCGTCTCCGGTGGAGAAGAAGCCGAGGAATCCAAGGCGATACTGGATAGTCACTACGACCACGTCTTTCGTGCACTGAACAGATCGCCTGGTCTCAAAAGACAAAAGGACCACGACTCCTTCGATGATTGGACCGTAAAGAGGCTGAAGTTCAGAACAATATGATGAATTTTGTACCAGGTGCTCGCAGATACCGACGTCACCATACTTCACGGCACTGTCGCAGATGAAAGCACCTCCATGGATGAACACCAGGACGGCGAAACCTTCTGAGTCAGGGTCTGGGCTCCAGACCGGCGTGAATACATTCAGATAGAGATTGTCTTCGGATATCTCCCCTAGCTACAGAAAAAAGTTGTCTAGTCAAAAAAAATCGTAAGAATTCCGCTAAAAATGAGTTTAGTATAATCCAAAAACCTGATCAACAATAGGCCAAAAGTGATTCGCTAACCCGGAGTCCTCTCTTACGGAATCTCGAGCCCAATGTTGGTGAGATTACGTCCCGCAACCGTGGATATCGACCCCTCACATTTCTCTCGAGGCCGAATGTCAATTGGAGCAAGAACTTCCTTTTTGGAAGCTCAGCTCAAAGATTGAATTCGAGGAACTGGGAAATATTTAAAATGAGAGGTGAAACCTTTCAAAAATGCTTCTTGTACCCACCGTTGTAGCATAGCGGTCTACAGTATATGACAAAGCTCAGAGAGCTCTAGCTTCGGAAAAGTTTCCAGTCCTGTTATGCTGTTGCGACCGCACTATGGCAAAGTCCTGTATTCTAAAAACCCAGCAGCGGAAAGAAACCTTGATCTTCTCGAAGCAGTGTAGATCTTTCTGAACCCCTCTTGCCGCGAATTTTTTTGTTGACTTGACATCGGACCAGGGTTGTGGCCATTCAGGTTTCTAAAAACTCAGATATTATGCTCGTGTTTAGGTTGAATTGAGTAAAGGAAACTGTCGGAAGTGTACCTTAAATCGGAGCGCACCCACAGGTGGGCTGGCATACGGGATTCCTTGGAACGCGTCAACCTGAAACGCATCTATCGAATTCGATTCCTGGAAAAAAGAACTGGGACCAAAACGGACAACCTGCTCCAGTCTATCTTCCACTTAGAGTCTGTCAAAAGTGTCAGGGACGAGTGTGCAATCACATAAATCATATAATGGTTGCATTGCTCTACTGTTGGGGCTCCAGTCATAATGTTGCCCAAAGCTGCTCTTGTAAAGTTGGGATCAGACTTGAGTACCAGTTAATGATCAGATTGGTCCTGCAGTTTACGTATGGGAATGAAACCGTAGCCGTTCCTCAGATGAAAAGTGACGTTATTTAAACGCAAAAGTGCTCAGAAAAAAAAATTAATAAGTGGACGAAACCCGCTAGCTCCACACTCTTCCCCTAAGACTGTTGGGCATAGAAAACGGACATTGAGCCCTTACTGCGCTAAATCCAGACAGCGGTTCACCTTGACAATGACACTAACTGACTCTTTGGTAATTTCGTACCAATTTGTAGCTTGCAGAAGTGAACCTGCGAATTTTGCCCTCGAAGTTGACGAAAGCTCCTATATCTTTGTTGAGGCCCCGTGGATGTTCTCACGTTCCACGCGATCCACCAGGAATACGAGGGCTGCCTTTTATATTTCGGGATTTGGCAACACTAGTGCAGCAACCTAGCAACTGACACCACTATCGTAAAGTCTGACTATTTCGAGGCTACGTCGCGAAATTTGAGCGCGATTTGTATGTTTATACTAAGTTATAAGATTTTGTTTGGGCCAAGTTATGGAGGTTGAATCGTGAGCATTTTCGCGCGGTTATTTTCTACAAC